TTAAAAAAAAAAAAAAAAAAAAGACACCAGTGCATCATATGAGTTTTCGACAGAATAAAAGTGCATGTGCACAGCGCCAAACATTTTGAAAAATGGACACGGTGACTTCAATACTTGGTGCAATGATTTGTAAACCAAAGAATGTCATACAGTTAAATTTTTAATTATGGTAAAAAAAACATTAATGCTACGGCATTACAATATTGCAATGTCAACGTTTTGACACATACATGATTGAATTTTTTAAGTAGCTCTTTACACAGATCACACAACTGAACTTCAGGAACTCAAAACCACTGTCAAAGCATTAAAGAGATTATTTGCACACATGCAACAGTTCATTGTCCTTTGATCATTCTCCCCTTTGTCTGTAATCATTGTCCCTTTTCCTTCATCACTGCAGAGGATGCTGATTTTGGAGCAGGATTAGGGGAAGTTTCGCTATGTAACAAAAGCATCTTTGCGTGCCTTCAAAGAGCTTTACACATCTTCACTTTGCTTCAACATTGGCGTTGAGAAGCAACTCGACCCTTTCCGTTCTCGATAATCTTTTTCTTGCCAGCATTAGGAGACAGAACAGCTGTTGGTCTTGTTCATGGGCGGCCGTAGACTCATGTCCTTGGGAAAGGTCTCTCTGCGATGGCGTAAAGGGGGGCTGAGACATCTGGGGAGGTTTGCTTGTTGGAGCAGCTCCTTGAACACCTCCATCACGTTTTCGTTTTCTTTAGCCGAGGCCTCCAGAAAACAGTTGTTCCAGTCCAGTTCCACCTTCACCAGAACGTCGTCCGCCGATACCCTTCGTTCTTGCATTCGGTCTTTTTTGTTGCCCACCACCACGATGGGTGTGAACTTGTCCTCCTTGACCTCCAGGATTTCCTCGCGCAGTCTCTTGACGGCTTCTAGGGATTCGGGGTCATCCACGGAGTAGACCAGGGCAAATGCATCTCCATTCTGGATGGAGAGCTTCCGCATGGCTGGGAAGGAGTAGCTGCCACTCGTGTCCAAGATGTTAATGGTCACTTTGACTCCAGCCACCTCATACTCCTTG